CTGGAGATGAAACAACCAAACCCACAAACACAAAACCCTGGAGATGACATGATCAAACCCAAAAGGAGGGTGTGACCAAACCCTGAGGGTGACAGGAGACGAGTCCAGGGTTTGGGTTGCACAAACCTCTGCCATCAGCCGTTATCCCGATGCCGCTGCTGCAGAGAGCCTGGAATTCCGCTGTGGAGAAAGGACAGCAGAGCCATGAGCTTGGCTGGGCACTGCACCCAGTGCCAATAACTCTGGATTTATTGTTTGTTTGTTTGTTTGTTGGAATGTCAGCTCCAGGCTTCCCAGCAGGGCCTGTTTGTGCTCACACAACATGGATTTTAAAGCTGATACTCCCAGTTGGAGTCCGACATCCCTGCCATGAGATCAGCACCAGATTTGGTGCTGATTTGGGGACCCAGCCTTTGTTTGTTGGCTGCCTGGTACCCCTTTCCCCCTGCCTGTGGCTTCCCCATGTCACTGCCAAGCTGCCAAAGGCATCAGGAGGGCTCTGAGCACCTTCCTGGGGTTTTACACACTCAGAATCACAGAATGTGCCGAGTTGGAAGGGACCCCCAAGGATCATCCAGTCCAACTCCTGGCCCTGCACAGGCCCATCCCCCTGTGCCCAAGAGCATCACCCAAACCCTCCTGGAGCTCTGGCAGCCTTGGTGCTGTGCCCACTGCCCTGGGGAGCCTGGTCAGTGCCCAACCACCCTCTGGAGGAAGAACCTTTCCCTAATTCCAGGTTATACTGTGGATACAATTACACCCTGTGCACTTGGGTGTCATTTTGTGGCTGTTGAAATTGAGGTTTCACTTGGTTCCCCCAGTCAAAGTTGCAGCCTGAATTAACCTGGATTGCTAATTAATCACTGTAGAATCATGGAACATCCTGAGGTGGAAGGGACCCACAAGGGTCATTGATCCAACTCCTGGCCCTGCCCAGGACACCCCAACAATCCCCCCCTGTCCCTCAGAGCGTTGTCCAAGAGTTCTGGACATGTTCCCCAGGGTTTGCTTTTGTTCTTCTCCACCCCCTGCCCCTCTTTATTCCAGGAGTTGGGGCTTCATTTGTCCCCTACAAACACAGAAACATCCACAGCAACAATGCAGCAGGATTTCTGTAGAATCCTGGAATATCCTGAGCAGGAAGGGACCCCCAGGGATCATCAGGACACCCCAACAATCCCTCAGAGGATCACCCAACCCCTCCTGGAGCTCTGGCAGCCTCAGGGCCATGCCCACCACCCTGGTGAGCCTGTTCAGTGCCCAACCACCCTCCGGAGGGTGGAGGAGAAAGAAGAACCGGAGCTCACCCGAGTTCTTGGCCGGGCAGGGCTGGCAGGGCTCTCCGAAGCCGTGGTCCGGGTTGGCACAGCAACACTCGGACTTGGTGACGGCGCCGGGGAAGGGGCGGGCGCAGGTGCCCTTTTTGATGCCCCCGTAGCAGGTGCTGCGCATGTGGGTGTCCACGCAGACCCGGCCGTCCACGCCGATGGCCAGACCCCCCAGGCACTCGCAGCGGAACGAGCCCTCGGTGTTGATGCACCAGCCGTTCATGCAGATCCCGGGGGTCTCGCACTCGTCGATGTCTGAGGGAGGGAGGGGACACCGGCGGAGGGGGGGTCAGCTGCCCATGGGCACGGGGACACGTGGGGAGGGGCAAAGGACGTGTGGAGAGGGGTGAAGGACACGTGGGGAGGGATGAGGGACATGTGAGGAGGGATGAGGGACACGTGGGGAGGGATGAGGGACACGTGGGGAGG